ATGATACATTAATTCTTGGCATCAAATGCGATATTACATTTGGTGATCCCATCGTAAAAAGCAAACAGAGCCTTTTCGCTATTTAAGCGAAATATCATAATCTAGACTGCTGAAATTGCCTCAATCATCCGTGCTAGCTCGTTGAATTATCCGTATGTTCACTCTGTTCATAATCCACTTCCACAACTCATCTGATTAGCGGTTGACTCGGCATTTCCTAATTTATGCTCCTTCCGGACATGCTATGCTTCCAATCTAGTCCGTACACCCATGCAAGACCTATCAAAATTGAGGCCTCTTGATCATTTCCCACCTCGTATCTTATAAAATCTAAGATCTCTCTTATTTTAATTTTTTATAATGACTTTCTAAAAAAAAGGCCTGTTCTTAGTATTTTGGAATAACTTATCGTGGGCCCGCTGCCAGATTAGTTATGTAAAACCCTCTAACAATCTTCTTTTGACATGTAGATTAAGTTTAGCTGAAGCTAATCTCAAGTTAAATAAGAAACACTTAGAAAATCGCGGTGCTTTGTTCTAGTAAGCTTCTGTTACGCAGGAGTTTCCGCTGAATGCAATAATTTCAGCGCATACTAGAATAAGAAAACAAATCAATGAATACACATTCTTGCAATGCATGAAATTCCAAACATTACCGTACTGTCTAAGGCCATCCAAGGCATTCCGCAGTATCCTATCTTTGCACGGTATTTTTTCTCCACATGGTTGATATTTCGGTTCTTCAACTTGCGATGTTATATGTGGTCCGCCATACTCCGATAGTGTAATGCATCATCTAGTGCCACTTTTGATTCTAAACTAATCGGCAATAAGTGTGTACCGTAAGCTCTTTCACCTTCAGCAAACATTTACGTAGAAAAGTTAGAAAAGCGAAACAAGTACGAGGAAAGGAGGAGGTTGACCACAAAAATGACCTTAATGGTAAAATATCGGGTGTAAGTTAGAGACTTTTTTTAAAGGCAGATTGTTACTGAAAAATTTTCCATGTCGCCCTGGCAAATTCAAAATCTTGAAAAATAATCGAATTTAGTACACTTTCAGAATTTTTTAGTAC